ACACACGCACTCACTCACTCACTCACTCACACACACAAACGCACTCACTCATGCATGCACGCACGCACACACACGCACTCACACTCACACTAACACACACACTCACACATAAACACTCACACACTCACACACACACACACACACTCACAACTAAAGTGGCTCGAATTTCATCCGAGACTGCTTGTCTCCTTGCCCTTCTTCTCCCTCCTCTTCCTACTCCTCCTTCACCACGTCTTCCTCCTCTCCCTCCTCCTCCTCCTTCCTCCTCCTCCTCTCCCTCCTCCTCCTTGTCCTTCACCACGTCCTCCTCCTCTCCCTCCTCCTCCTCCTCCTCCCCCCCCTCCTCCTCTTCCACAGCTGAGACTGCTGCGGCTGCTGGGAGCGTAGCTGCTCGTGGTGCTGTTGGTCGGGCCTCCTTGTCCTTCACCATGTCCTCCTCTCCCTCCTCCTCCTCTTCCTCCTCCTCCTGCTCTCCCCCTCCTCTTCCTCCTCTCCCTCCTCCCTCCTCCTCCTCTCCCTCCTCCTCCTCTTCCTCTCCCTCCTCCTTCACCACGTCCTCTTCCTCTCTCTCCTCCACCTCTTCCTCTTCCTCTTCGACCTATTCCTTAATTTCTCTGTGGATTCATTGTTCCAAAAGCTCAGTGAACTGATTCGGGCCCTTTTATCTATTTATTGAAGGATCTGATTGATGTGTGTTCAATTTTGACTCTTAGTGTTTCCACCTGGGTAATTGTTTGCGAATTGAGCTCAAGCTGTGCTGACTTGAGTGAACAGTATTGAATGCTAGTGCTTTCTAAATGACCACAGGGTGTAAGCACTGAGAAATGTTGGGATTTGTGTGTAGAGTTTTGCAGTAACAGTTCACCAAATCTGACTAATGTGTTAAAGCAGGGGAATAGTGTTTATAGTTCAGCAAAATGGGTGTGCTTTTTGAAAAAATGGCGTTATGGTTTTGAAATTTTAGTTCAAAAGCCTGGTTATAGTGTTTTAGCAATCGAGAAAAACGGTAACGATAACGACACTGCTTCTGGGTAATGTAGTTCTTCTGCTCTCTCCTCAGTGTCGGATGCTGTGTAAGGACATCCCAGCTGAGACCATGTATGACGTGCTCCATGACATCGAGTATCGGCGGAAATGGGACGAGAATGTCATCGAGACGTTTGACATCGGCAAACTGACGGTCAACGCAGATGTGGGCTATTACTCCTGTAAGTTCTGCCACTGTGCAGAGTTAGGCTTTAAAATCAAAATATGCAATTTACTTTGTTTATGATTGAACATCGGCTGACTGACGGTTTCATGAGGTGTCGCTCATGCTAAGCGTTCATGCTTTTAGGGAAGTGTCCTAAACCGCTGAAGAACCGTGATGTCATCACCCTGCGCTCCTGGCTGCCGATGGGCAACGATTACATCATCATGAACTACTCCGTCAAACACGCTGTGAGTGCTGCTGTGTTAGCTTAGTCTCGTTGATATACTGTTATAGGTTATGTTAATAGTTTGAATTCGATTTCATTTTTGATATATTCTCTTTTTTTTAATATATCTTTAATTTTTATTTAGTTTTAGTCAAAAAGCTAATTATTCTTATGCTTCCGGGCGCGTGGATCAGTGGGATTGGACTTGATTCACACGTGCTTCAGACATAAAAAAATATTAAATATTGTATTTGTTTACAATTCTATGTAAACATTAACTGACATCAGAGAACTGTGATCATGCATTGATTCTTCTGTACGATCAGCGTTCAGCAGTGACGTGTGTTTGTGTGAGCATCAGGACAGTAATGATTCTGCTGCTAACGATCTTCTGATCATTACTAACGATGTGATGGTGGTCTGTGTTCACTGTAACAGCTGGTGATCCTGTACAGATGTGTGCGTGCGTGTGTGTGTGTGTGTGTGTGTGATCTTGATTGATTGTGTTTCAGAAATATCCTCCTAAGAAGGATCTGGTGCGAGCTGTTTCCATCCAGACGGGATACCTGATCCAACGCACCGGCCCCATCAGCTGCACCTTAACATACCTGGCACAGGTGGACCTGAGAGGTGACACACACTCACTCACTCACTCACTCACACACACACACACTCACTCACTCACTCCCTCCCTCCCTCACACACACTCACTCACACACTCACTCCCTCACTCACTCCCTCACTCACTCACTCACTCACTCCCTCCCTCCCTCACTCACTCACTCACTCACTCACTCACTCAC